TAATATATATAATAGGTAATAGATATATATATATATATATAATAGCTATTCAATACCAACAAAAGCGTTCTAGGGACCGTTGCAAAGATCTTGAATCTTTTGAAACGAGGATAAATGAATATAAAGATGAATGATCAGTTTAAACCAATAATGAATTTTACTTCCAAGAATCAAACATACAAATTTACATATTTTCTGATGTGGAAGATCACACTAAGGTGGACCACAGAGTCATACTATACAACATACAATTTTACGCAAGAACAAATTTTAAAGGTTTAGGGTTCTGCCAACCTTAACCTGGGATCCCCTAAGAATTAAGTCAGAATGTGGAGGGGAAAGAGAAGAAAGCCTTTAAGCCAGGGCTTTAAGAAGTAGCAAATTTATATTGAAAATATAAAAACTTTATTTAATTACAAAAATTAATATTGATTCAAAATTGAAAAGACATATATCAAAATTTAAAGATTAGACTTACAAAGTTAAAGAATCTCTCTAACCTTGAATCCTTACAGTGGACGTTGGAAAGAGAGGAGAGGGGTTTACTAACTAAGCTTTTGGGCTTAGGATTGCCTATAATTGGACAATATAAATACAAGGACCGTTTAATTAATTACTCAGACTCAGATATTAAGTTGATTTTAATATTTATAAATTAATAAACATATCATACATATGATTATAAATCCTATTGATAATAGTATATTATTTGACATATATATTAATGATATCTTGATTAATATGTATATTGATAATGATCGCTGAATGAGAATAAATGAATATAAAAGATGATGATCAGTTTTAAACAATAATGAATTTTACTTCAGAATCAACATACAAATTTACAATTTTCTGATGTGGATAATGGTTGACCTTTACTGTGTATGAATAGTCTTTGGTCTGCCACTAGTTTATGAGATCAAATTGAAGGAATAAGGTTCCTTCTGCCTTTTACAAGAAGATGAGGACGATGAGTTGTCCTTCTTTTTACTTTTTTCTTTTTATCTTCAAGCTGTCCAAACGGGACTTACAACGGGTTCAGTAGGCATACCCAAACCTTTCCACGGTATTTCAGTCGGCTTCCTCTATCATAATAGATTTACTATCAGTGTATAATATACTAAATCCTTTGGCTCTGATACCAACAATTTAGGGATCATCGCCTGGTTATACCCTTCACTGCCCAACAATCAACTCAAAAAGGGACTTACAACGGGATGGGTGTAATTTCATTAAACTTGACATACCTATTCTTCGAGGATGGGTTTTATAATGACCTTTACAATGGGCCAAGGAATGATACTGGTGGATCATCCTTTAACCATAAGGATGCAAATGGGTTGAAAACCATTACAGTATTTTACTATTTACTAAGTTTAAATTGAAAATTGGATTTTTGGCAAATCCACAGCCATTAACGGATTTGATTAAGCTCTTACTGTCTAACGCGTTTGAGACAGAGTAGCCGATCATAAGCGGATACGATCGCCGTTTAAGTTTAGAAGTCATAACCCTGCGTATACTTCGCTGAAGAAGATACTATAATCAATATATATATATATATCATATAAATAATATATATATATATATATATATATATATATACATCACACACACAATTCAACACATTTGATAATATTAAAACTCCTAAAATAAAACTCCAATTAACCAATCTAATGTAGGATTTGCTTACCACCGTAGCCGAATCCTATATGGGAAAATATCCTAAAATTCGATATAAATTACTACAGATTTATCCTAAAGGACGGGTTTAATTCACAATTTACCCGACACTCGCGCGAGAGTATATATATATACACACACACACACACATTGATAATATTAAACTCCTAAATAAACTCCAATTACCAATTAATGTAGGATTCTTAATCCTTACCCTAAGGGAAATATCCTAAAATTCGATATAAATACTACAGATTTATCCTAAGGACGGGTTAATTCACAATTTACCACTACTCAATCTCTGAGCTCGTAGCAGAACCAAATCTAGTTTCTTTGTTAACAAAACTAGTATGTGAATACTAGCAATTACATCAACATGATAGTTTGTACAATAATTTATGTAGAATCATATCGAGTATCTCAAGATAAATATTAGTAAATGTTGAATTTTTAGACTTCATTATATCAATTGGACATCACATCATTGTCTTTAATGATTCATGCAAATTTCTACTTACCATCTTACCTTAATGTTTAAAACAATTCTTAAACTTGCTTACTTGGTTACATCCAATAAGATTGTGAACAAATATACTAACTTTCTAAAAAAAAAGACATTCTACTCGAAGAATGACTCTGTAATTTCTGTCCAGATCCTAACAAAGATTTATCGATGTGTATTTATCCATTATGAATAAATTAACACATGGTTTTCCATTTTCCATCATTACTTCTTATAACCACATAATCATTATTTGAAATGAATTTATACAAGGTTATTCATGAATACATCTTAAATAATTCCAACATATAATTTAAATAATAGATATTGTCATTTTTTCTTCATTGTCATCATCATGATCAAAAAAATATTTATTGAATGATATTCATATTTATGACAAAAGAATACATAATAAATATCAAAATTCAACATAAAAATTAATTTTAATATGTAAAATTTGTAGTTGACAACCTATATTTTATAAAAAATGAATTCAAACACAAATAAAATTTTGAAAAAAAATAAAAAACTCATTTGACTTAACGTTCAACTGTGAACAAATAAAAGCAATATGAGGTTCAATCAACTTTTATAGGAAGAGGAAAAAAAAAAAGTCAAAGATTTTGCCAAGATATTTTTTTTGCTTTCCATAGACTACTGTGAGGCCTTAACCCAAGCACTTAGTCCAGTCCACTAAATAGCATCAAAATGATCATTTGGATTTGATTCACAATATGAACGTCTATTTAATCCAATTATTTTCTTTTGCCAAGATATTTTCTTTTTGGGGTTCTAGGATTACCACATCTCTTAGACAAAGCAATAAAGAGAAGAAAGAGAAATGGAAAATAGAGAATTTTTGGTGATTTGGTTCGCAACTCAAGTTTCATAATCGAACATGCTTGCTTATCCATTCAAATAAAAACTAGAAACAAGTAAGTCTACCCATCATAAGATAGGGGTTGATAGATTTTAATCGAAGAAATATTCATTTTATCTTTCAAATATCATATTTTTCAGGCTTTCATTATCAATTTGAAAGGAAAAAAGAGATGAACATAAAGCAAAGGATGTAATTGAAAGAGAAAGAACGTAGAAATTTCACCTTAGCCTTTTGGGGGAGTTTTATGTTGTTGCTTAGCTTGACTACTCCTCCTTAGCTGGATTAGCAAGCTCATAACCTTCTTATCTCGAAATTTCAATTCAGAAAGAATTCAGATTTCAAAAAGGAGGACCAAAGAGGCTTTGAATAACCTAAGTGGGGTTACCGCTGATGATGCTCTTTTTTTCACTTCACCTTCTACTCTTTGTTTCGGTTTTAACCCTTGCTCACTTAAATAAATTCATATCTATTTTTCAATTATAACAAATTTTCTCTTTGCTTTTGTTATTATAATTTTTGTCCCTTAATTGTGAGGATCTGGCCGCTTCTTTGTGGGTTTATTAATAAATAAAAAGTATGATACTTGATATTATTTGGTTAGAGATTTTAGATTTTGATTTATAGGTGTGGATCTTCGATCAATTGAGTCTAATAGTGCGACATGTTCCTCTATTGCTGCTATTGACGTAATGGTAGAAACTCATTTGTGTTCATCGTATGCTATAAGTTCTATGGAAAGAAATCTAGTATATAAGATCTAGCGAAGTTATTATTTTGATGGACTAGTTGCTATTATGAAGCTTTATATCTTTTGTCAAGATCATCTTCAAGTGAACAGATATAATACTATATCTTTTCATTTTATTTTTATTATTAAAAAAATATAAATTCTTTTGGTTTGTTAAAAAGTTAAAGAATTTTATTAATTATTAATAGTAAAGTTTTATGTCTAATCTATATAAGAATGTGTATTACTTGACATTATTATTACCGGATTATATTTTTAAAAATAATTCAAAAGCAAATTTTTTTAAAAAAAAAATTGATAACTCTTTATATTTTCCAAAAAATAACCATGTAACTCAGATTTTCCAACAGTAATTTTAAGGATTTAAATCTTGAATAAATCCCACTTGCTGCTTAAATATAATGACAAATGTATATCTATTTGCAAATGCCATATGTGCAAAAAATGTCAAACACAAAAAGCTCATATTCAAAATTGATGCTAATGTGTGTAAAAATATATTTCCATGTTGAATATATGTTAACTGTTAACTAGTATTATAAAATATTAAAAACCATAATTTACCTATCAAAAGCCTAATTAGATGATAAGTTAACTGGTTAGTCTACTCCATTCCTAGCTTGCCTTCATGATTGTGCTAAATGGACACCCAACAATTACTTCCCTACACATATGTTTTGTCAAACTCTTTCCATTAATCTCTACACAAATTTATTCTAGATCAACTAAATCTAGCACTCCATTTGAGAGAAGAAGTAATGCAATTCTAAAAAGAGATATTCACAAAATTATAAAGCCATTTGAATATTAGTAAACTCATGTGACTAGCATATGATTTAGTCTTAAGGGTGATTTAGACATTTGTTAGCTATTTAATAAACAAATTAACGTCTAGGCCTAATAATTTTTTTTTTATCAGCAATCAGGTTATTAAATTTATTAAGAAAGCTAGAAGGAGAACTCATCACACCCGAGCGACTACATCCAAGCCAATAGGCTTACCCAATACACCTGGATCCTAGCTTAGGATGACAAGAATACCAAGACAATAGAACAAGAGCTAGAAACCTCTCTTAAGACAAGAGAAGAGTGCTAGAAAAACTGAAAAAGAGATCCTGAACAATGATAGAACAAAGAGATAACTGCCAAAAATACGAAGAAACTAAATCCAAGCTAAGAATGAATTTGTAGCACTAACCCTTTTCTTAGCTAAAGAATCTGCAAAATGGTTATCATTTCTCAAGACGAAAACAAATTGAACCTTATTGAGATGAGACAAAATCTGATCAAACTTGTTAAGCTTCTCCCACCAATACCATGAGCGCTTGAGCTTCTGACTAATCCAACATAAAGTGTTTTTAGTGTCCGATTCCACAATCAAAGGAAAATGTTTAACATTTGAATTCAAAAAAATCTAAATAGCTGAAACAATAGCAAGTAATCAGCCTCATTTGAATCCAATATACCGACTGAATAATAAAAAATACATTAACTAATCCATTGTTGTCCCTTAACACACCTCCTACCCCTGCAGGCAACTTACCAGAGGAAGAACCGTCAGTGTTGAACTTCAGCCATCCTTTAACCGGCGCTCCCCAAAACACATACTTTCCTAGACTAGCAGTTGTGATACCCACTGAACTCCGATCTGCAAACTTCAATTGGGAACAAAAAGTAGTCACTGAGACCAATAGAAGTAAACTTAGCCATTAACAACTCAAAGCTTCTGAATTTAAGCATATCGACAACCTGTTCCAAATTTTGCCTTAGATCACTGAAGACAACTTTGTTTCTAGCTATCCAAATATACCACAAAATTAAAAGCATAATAGAATTCCATATAACACAACACCCTTTAACCAAAACAATACTCTCCCACTGCCAGCTCAAGTCTGCCAAGGAAAATGGCAGAACACACAGAACATCCCACCATCTCAGCACACCCATCCACACACTCCTTGCAAAAGAACAAGATAAGAGGACACAACTGATTCAATTTCCCCATTGTAAAAGGACAAACACACTCCTGCAAATTCAATAAAATATGATGTCTAAATAGATTTAATCTACAAGGAAGTTTGTTTAGCATTACTCTCCAAACAAAAAAAAAGAAACTTTCCCTAGTATTAAAGGAGACCAAAGTGGTTTTACATTGTAAGGAATATTTACCTTAACCAACTCAAACTGTTCCGTTAAAGAAAATAAATTTTTCACTGAAAAAGTACCTTGCTTGTTGAATGTCCAGATTACTCATCTTCCATATCTAGAATAACTGCCAGCCCATCTAATTCTGGATCAACTGAGCCTAGTACTCTTCTTGAAAACTTCTAAAATCACGCAGCTATGCTACTTGCCAAATCCATCTACCAGTAGCAAAGAAACCACAATCACAGATCTTACTCCTTTTATTTTTTTGCTAATCTGAAGAGTTTGGGAACAACGAAGAGAGAGGAACATTATCAATCCAAAGACCAAACAAAAATTAATACAATTATTATTTTCTAAAATCCATCTGAATCCTCCCTTAGAAATGGTTTTTAGAGAGGAAGAGATAACAACAAAAGCTATATCTCACCAAACTGGAGATAATTTTTTCCAGTACTCTGACCCCAAATTTGTATTCCACAATCGTTCATTACCATACTTTGAAATTAAAATGTGTTTCCTAAAAAACCATTTCCCGATTTAAACCTCCACCACCATTTTCCCAAAAGAGAAATGTTATTACATTTAAAATTAGGAACACCAATTCCACCAAAAGCCTTGCTACAACAAATAGAACTCATCGCCACCTAGTTTAAAGGCCTCTCATTCTCTAGCCCTTTACCCCTTAAAAACCTTCTCTGGATCGATGCAATTCTTTTGATGATAGAAAAAGGAGCTTTGAAAATAGACATGTAATACAAGGGTAGGGAAGATAACACTAATTTGATTAAAGCTATTCTTCCTCCGAAAGAAAAATTTCTTGCTTTCCACAACAACAATCTTCATTCAAACTTCTGAATCACTGCACGCCAAGAAGCAAGTTTCTACGACTGCTACCAATTGAATACCCAAATATGATGTAGGCAAGAGATCCGGGATGCACCCCAAAGTGGTTGCAAGGTTATCAATTCAAGTTCAAAAATCTTCACCCTAAATAGTTTACTCTTGCTGAAGTTAATTTTTACCCTTGATAAGAATTGAAAGCATACAAGAATTCTCCTTAAATTGCAAATTTGGCCCTTATCTGCAGCATTAAAAATCACCGAGTCATCTGCAAATTGAAGGTGGGAAACTATTACCTCGTCTTCCCCCACTTTTACGCTTGAAAAAAAAACGTTTTTCAATCGAATTTCTCATAAGAATATTAAGACCTTCAACCACAATAAGAAAAAGTAAAGGTGAAAAAAAGTCTCCTTGTTTGAGATCCCTACACATAGTAAATTCCTTCATAGGACACCCATTTACCAAAATCGATAATCTGGAAATCTCTAAGCACTCCTTTATCCAACTTCTCCATCTTTCACCAAAAGCCAATTTATCCATCATAGACAGTAGAAAGTTCCAGTTCACCAAATCCTAAGCCTTCTGAAAATTGGCCTTGAAAAAAACTGACTTAATTTTCCTTCTCTTTTAGTCATGAATTAATTCAGTGCATATTAAGATACCATCTATTATTTGACGACCCCCCACGAAAGCAGTTTGGTTCTCCCCAATGATAGAATTCATAACCCGCCTCATCCTTAAAAGGAGAAGTTTTGTTACCACCTTATAGACGCTTCCAATAAGGGAAATCAGCCTATAATCGAACAGACATTAAGGAGACGAAATCTTTGGGATCAATATTATAAAACTTGAATTCATTTAGATAACTTTCCATCATCATAAAAGTCTTGAAAAAATTTAAAAAGATCTTCTTTGATTGTTTCCCAGCAATTTTTGTAGAACTTTATTGTGTACCCATCCGACCTAGGAGACTTGGATAAACCGCAACTCCAAACAGCTTCCTTTATTTCTTTTCCAGAAAAAGGCACTTCTAAACGAAGCCTCTCTGACTCTGATAATTTTCTGACTGTTTCACATCTCAGAGAGGGTCTTATTGATGTGTCTGCTGCAAACATGTTAGAGAAGTGATGTTGAACTACATTTCTTACATCTGCCACTCCCGAAACCTAACATTAAAAATTTAGAATCGCTATTTGATTATTTGCTACTCTCTTATTAACTATTGCATGGTAGTATTTAGTATTAGCATCCCCTTCTTTCAGCCACTTCACCCTAGCTTTCTGCCTTAACATACTCTCTTAGCTCTTTGAATCTCTAACAGTTTTGAGAACAAAGATCTTCTCAAAGATACTTCATCGTTACTAAGATTATTAATTTTTGCCTTCAAAGCAAGAGTAGCTAAATCCCCAATGCATTTCAATTTTTCCTCATTCAAAATCCCAACCACTAATCGATTCCAAGACTTTAGTTCTTTCTTCAGAATTCGAAGCTTACTCATAAATAAAACCATTAAATCCCCGAAATATATTTTGATTCTAGTAATCTTTAACGACTTTTGGGAAACTCTTTTGGTCGCACCAGAAACTGAAGAAGCGAAAAGGTTTCAGTCCCCAGTTAGACAAATCAGAACCAAAAAGGATAGGGCAATGATCTGAACAGATTCTATTTAGACCCAACACTTGAAAGCCTGCCCAATTTTCTAGCCAACCATTACATACTAGAAACCTGTCGATCCTACTCATCTTGTTAACAGCTGCATTTGCCCAAGTGTCGCTTCTACCCATAATAGGAAAGTCTTGCAAATCACAGTTAGCAATGAAAGAATTAAAATTTGAACAGCTTACTAAGTCCTCTACACACCCTTTACGCTCTTGTTGTTCACTGACCGCATTAAAATCCCCACCTATACAGCATAATCCGGAACAACCCACAACTAAATAATGAAGTTCTGCGGAAACCAATTTTCTAGAGGCCAAATCGTTTGGGGTATAACTATTAAACAGAAAGCAGAAATCAAGGACATCTAGAAATTTGCCTTTCACCATACAAAACAAGAACCCAATACAATTTCAGATTGAAGAAACACAGACGAATGCCACACTGTCAAAAACTCCACCAGAAGCTCCTACCGCATCAAGGCAAGCCTAGTCAAACTTACTATCAACCAAGATTTTCTCCATAAATTTTCTTGAAATGCCCACCTTCTTAGTCTCCAAAAGAAAGAGGATATTTGCCTTATAATGTCTAACCAAATTTCTAACCTCTTTGCATCCCTTTACTGCCTAAGCCCTTTACATTTGGAGATAAAATTCTAGGAACAACCTTTAATTTGTTTTAAGAAAAAAAAAAAAAACCCAAATTTGTACATTCTTGAGAGAATCACTTCCTTCCTTGACGCCTCATCTCCACAAAGCCCTGAACCATTACCGAATCAGGACCTTCAAACTGCATCCCTATTTCTTTCCCCAGCTGTAAGTCTTTTTTAGCCTCGTTTAGATCAACAGAAGCCTCCTCGTCTATTGATTGAAGGAGGTTTCTGTTCGATAAGTTTGAGTTTCGAGATGCACGAGGTTTGGCTCTAGCCATGGCTAATGTTTTACGGTAGTTGGTTGTATTCATCACAGGAGGAAACTGGTCTTCAAGTTCTATTTGTCAAACACTCTCTGTTAAAAGACCCCAAATTGGCTTCATTATCAAGCCCATTAACCACATCAACTGGACTGGACTCCATGTCCAAGTTTATTGCCCCGTTAGTTGGCACAAGTCTATTGTCTTGGCCCACAGACATATTATTTATGTCACAAGCAGATGGATTCCCTGCTTCTTCAATCGAATAATTAGGCTCCAACGCATTATAGATGAGATGAGAGGGGCCCACTTCAACATCTGGCCCAAGTGCTAGATTGGAATTCACATTAGGGCTGCTCTAGTTAACCATCTTAGGGAATAAAATGGAATCATTTCTTTCATGAAGAGCTGCCAAGTCTTTCATAGGACCAGGTACTACATACTCTAAGCGACATTCACCCGTGCAAACTACATTGTCCTTAGAAGCATGCACTACAATTCCATTGGCTAGATTCGAATTACTTGTCTCCAACGTCGTTTGGCCTTCTTTTCCTTCCCTGAAAACCCTTATAGCTTCTATAAATTCCGGTAATGGTGTGCTAGGAATGACTAGTCAAGAACTCACCTACTGCAGAGATTGGGATGGAGATCGATAATAATCGAACTCCTTTTCCTACTAGGACTTTGATTCACTCAATATCCATCTACACCCTAGTTCTGAATTAAGACTTTCATCGTCTGTAATTCTTATACTATGAATACGATCATCAATTTTTACTTCCACCGAAGTTCTTATGAAGTCCGGGTATTTTATTGCGATCAACACTCTTCCAATATCTAACCTTGATCTAGATATTGTACTTTCATTAACCATTAAAAGAGACCCAACGTTGACCCTAACAACTTGAAAAACTCTTCATTCCAAGTTCAAGAGGAATCCCCTCACATCTTTGCCAAACCCATCTATCACAGCCTAATTTTAAGTTACTATTCCAAACACAAACATGAGAGAGCCATGCTGCATGGAAATCTTTTTTCTCCAAAAAGGACAGGGCTTTGTCGAATGAACTAAACTTAAGCACCACCCTATTTCCTCCCCATGGGATAACCTCACACCCGATACTACTCAGTGTTGCTTTGGCAGATATTCAAACACTCCTTCAACCAGGCCACGCAACAAGAATCTAGCCATTTTAGTTCTTCTAGCTTTATTTCGTACTCACATCTACCCCACACTGGAGTTTTCTCATTTACTAGATGTCCACAAATTGAGTTATTAAGATTACTCATGTTCTCTTTTTCGTTTTTATTTAGAACATTCCCCACCACTTCAGCATATTTTTTATCATCCCTCCAACTTTGTTTGAAAGTCGTTCTCTTTGGCTGGCTAGTTACTTTGTTGTGATAACCTTGATGCTTCGACTTCTCAAATCTTGCAACCCTACACCACAGTTTGAAAGAGCCTATCCATATCTTGGTAAGATCATTCAGAAGATTCTCTTTATTATTAACGTCTTTGAAACGAACAAAACCAAATCTCTGGTTTAATTTGTTTCTTCTGACTGATGTGAATGTTGGATTTAATTTTCTATTGTGGGCTTAATATGTAAAATTAAATATGTACAGCAGTCTAATTGTAAAGTCAATTTCAAATGTGGTCTTGATGTGGTCGTTGATGTTGTGGTGTGGAAATGACTATTGAGGATCAACTAAATTAATAGAATATTAAGTGTAGGAGGACCATTATATAATTTCATATACTTCGTCTATTTAGGCCGACAATAAGATTGTTACTAACGCTACAGGTATATAAAGGTGTGGCCACAGAGAAGTTGAATAACGATTTCAGTTTTACGTTCCTTTTGTACTGCTTACGCTAAATCGATTCCTTCAATTCTCTGGAAAGGCTGCCAAACCTTATTCTACAATTCAAGGGGATCGAACGACACGTGTCAGGTACCGGCAAACCTTTCTTATTCAATACTATTTTTGTTGAATCTAGTGTTTGCACGATTCTAGGTCCTGTTTTTTGATATTTGGATTAATTTATTTAACAAGTGCGTCATCAGAGCCTTGTGCAAATAATTGCGTATTTTAGATTGGATTTACGTATATATATTTTTTTTTATTTTGTTTACCTCTGTTTACGGATGAGGGTTTTTGCTCTTAATAATAATAAAAAATTAATCTGTTCTCACTATTTCGTTCGAGTTGCCCAAGAGACAGGGTAAGAGGTTTTGAACTCCGTCATTTGACGATTAATTGTTCGATTTAGGTATTTGTTTTTTTTTTATATTTACTGGCCGGATCCTTGATTTTAAAAAAAAAAAAAAAAAAACCTGAAAACCTCAATTGTTGCCGGCAGATTTGTTTTTGAATTGCAGTTTAGGGATTTGTGATTTTTCAACACCGGTTTTTAGAGACCTTTTGGCTTGCCGTTTCACGTCCAATGGCGGACCGGAGCCTTGTTCTTCGCGTTGGAACTTGGTGTGTTGGCGGCGGAAAAGAGGCTGAAACTGCAGGTGGAGAGAGTCGGCAAAAAAACCTGTAATTTTGGTCTCTGGTTCTTTTTTTGGTTTTAAGTTTAGGGATTGGTTAAATTTCATGAGTTAGGTCCCTAGAAAATTTCGTATTAGGCCCTATTTTCTATACTTTCAGATTAGGCCCTTAAGTTTTCTGTAAACTTCAGATTGGCCCTAAGTTTCTGTACTTCAGATTAAAGGCCCCTTAATTTTCTGTAATTTCAGATTAGGCCCCTAATTTTTCTCTTTTTCGTAATTTAGGCCCCTAATGTTTCTGTTTTTTTTTTTGGTTCGTTATAGGACCCATGGACATATAATTTATTAACATTAGACCCCCGCAACTTATTATTATTCAAAATTTATTTAGTCTATCTTTTATAACTTTAGTCTCTTATTTACTGTGGACTTAAAAGACTAGATTATAATTTTTTTTTTTTGGGCTAAATAATCTTTAGATTATTAAACTTTAGACAATCATTCATTTTAAATTTGCAGATTGTTTTGTTTTAATTTACAATTAAATGATTTGATTGTCGAATTTGAGATTAAAATTTCTGGAGTGATTACAGTCCCTTTTGTGTTGATATTTTTGTTAAAATAAATTATTTGCATTCAATAAGTCACCAAAGTGACCTCCTATTGCTTGGAATTGATATATATTTAACAATATTAGACAGGGCTGTTATTAAGAAATTCGTTCCGCGCGATAAGGGTTAATCGGCCCAAAGGAAGCGTTTACTATCGTATTGGCTGAGTTTTTGAATACATTGTTTGGAAATAAATATCTGATAATTGTTTTGATTATTTTCCCATGACAATGAATATATCGAGCACAGGAAGATTTAATTATTTTGTCAGGAACTATGTTAATCAATTATTTTGATTGCTGCGTTTTGATACTAATTACAAGTTAATGCTTTACATCCACAAGATGGAATATGAGAATATTAATGTTGTGTCTGTATCTTATTTCCATTTTTGATCTCTACTTATGTGAATTGTTTCATTTGTGAATTGTGAGCTTATACTTATCTATTCGTTTATTTTCTCTGCTGTCAGCTAACATGTCATTTAATCCTGATTGTGTCCCTAAACTTGAGGGATCAAATTTTGAGTCTTGGAAATCAGACATTATGATTTTTGTGGGCTGTATGGATTTGGATCTTGCATTGAGGATGGACGAACCTGCTCCTCTTACTGCTACGAGCACTGATGTTCAAAGGGTTCAGTATGAGAAGCGGGAGCGTTCTAATCGCTTAGGTCTGATGATCATGCAGAAAGGAGTACCAGAACATGTTCGAGACTCTGTCTCAGCTGAAAAGAACAATGCTCAAAACTATCTTGCCGAGCTGGAGAGGGCTTATGTCAAGAATGACAAAGCCGAAACTTTTAGGAAAAGAACACTTTTAGGAAAATTAACCTCCATGAAGTTTGCTGGCAATGGTGGTGCTCGGGAGCATATTCTTAGCATGTCTCAGATTGCAAAGAGACTGAAGGTGCTGGGTATGGCTTTACCAGATGACCTTTTAGTCCATTTGGTTATGAATTCTCTTCCTTCTCAGTATGGACAAATTAGGACTTCCTATAATTGTCAGCCGAATAAATGGACTCTTAACGAGCTCATTTCTCATTGTGTTGATGAGGAGGAGTTGATGAGGAAGGAAAAGATGAAATTCTAAGTGAGTTCTACAAGATTAATTGCGCCAAGAATTTCAGAGTTGTTTTCAAGAGTACTTGAAGGTAAGTTTCTGATTCTTGTTCTAAATTCCTTGTTTTTGTCTCTTCAAGAGTACTTGGGGGTTAAAGGGATTGACGCGTACTTCCGTGATTGCATGCTTTCCGCTAGATTTCCTTGTTGATTTGCAAGAGTACTTGTTAATTAGCTAGGGTCGCATTACGGATCACTTGAGAAAGGACTGTCCTAAATTTGCTATTTGGCTTGCAAAGAGGGGCAAGTACCTTGTTTTAGTCTGTTATGAAGTTAATTTAACTTCAGCTCCTAAAAACACTTATTGGATGGATTCTGGTGCTACCGCTCATATAAGTGTTTCATTGCAGGGCTGCCTTAACTACAGAAAGCCAACTGACGGTGAAAGATCTTAGAGTCGAGTCGAGTCGAGTCGAGTTGAACCAAACCCGGTTGGGGTAGAATGGGATTATAAGTGGACTTACTTGAGTGAGAGAAAATGTATTCACTTTATCTATGAATTCAAAAGTTTTGAGTACTGGTTGCTTGAATGAATGTGATAATCTATATATGTTAGACATTGATACTAGTTATCATGAATCCCTACATGTTACTACAAGAGGTACCAAAAGAAAGAGAAAAGAGTTGGTGGATATTGATAACTCGAGCCATGTACTTTGCATAGACGTGTGGGGTCACTGTAGTCCAACATCAAGAGATTTAGCGTCTTGTTTCTGATGGATATCTTAGACTATTTACTGGCATTTACACAGTTTGGATTCTTCTATTGAGTGTCATTAAGGAAAAACAGACCTAAAACAAAGAGACTAGAGTGCCATATTTTCGGTCAGGCCACTCTCTTGGTAGAACTGAT